TCAAATTTCCAATCTGAACCATTTCACTTCAGTTCTTTTTCCTCCGAAATCGCTTTTTTTTTGCTCTCGCATCAATACTTTCCTAGATCATTCACCGAGACCTTGCGGCCCGTAATGTGTTGGTTGGACAAAAGGAAACTTGTAAAGTGACAGACTTTGGAATGGCCAGAGATGTGCAGCAGGAAAATATTTATGAACGAAAGACCAAGGTAATTAATAATAATAATAATTGATATTTAAACAGGGTGACCCCTTCAGTCACAAGACTGGCATCAACAGGGGCCCTGTGTAACATAAAATAAAGGAGAGTAAAATAAATTATATATATACACATATCAATAAGAACCAACTGATATAAAAAGTAACAATGTTCGATTTCAGAATGTTCTAAAAATAGCTTAAGAATAAAAAGCGGAGATAGCCGGGAAACGTTCCTTAGGTGGTAAAGTCTTAATGTTCATTGTTCAATTAAGAAAGAGGGGTGGTGGGGGCGGTACTACATATCGTTCAGTTTAGTGATCTTTCACAATCATTATTGTGATAAAGCTGATATACTCCAGATTTCGATGACAAAATCCTTGGATGGGACCATAATGAAAATAGCCATTCGTATACGAGTATAATATTAAACATCACTGTCTGACCAATCGCTTTCTATAATTTTTAAGCTGTTTCACAAAGTGATATTTAAAATCTTTAGGGCCGTCTTCCCGTGAAGTGGACAGCTTATGAGGCCTTGTTGTATGGTAAATATACCACAAAAAGTGACGTGTAAGTATACCTGATTATTACCAGTAGCAATTTTCCAACAAGTTTTATCAATAGAACAAGAGAGATGGTAAGTTTTGAGCTCGATAAAGAAATAGAGAAAGATGTTTTGCATCTTCTCATGAGCGTTGGACAATGAAAAATAGTCTTGAGTCCCTATGAGGAATGGAACCTCAGACCTTCGGATTCCGCGCTCCGATGCTCTACCACTGAGCCACAGAGAATCTACGGTGAGTAACGTTTATTACGAAGTTCATATGACACACGTCCTGCATACTGCTAGGATCAGCAATGTCGATAGAGTCATGTTTGTGAACAGAAATAAGAGAGAGAATCGGAGCGCGGAATCCGAAGGTTTGAGGTTTGATTCCTCATGGGGACTCAGAATTTTTTTCTTCGTCCCACGCTCGTGATAAGACGAAAAACGTTTTTTCTCTAGGTTTTTATCAATTTTAATCAGGACATGAATTCTATGCTTTGTCAGAGAATACATATATCTTTGTTGTCGTATAAAATGTTACTGTCTTCAGTCACTTAATTTATATTCATTTGATTTGCTTTTCTGCAGATGGTGTTATGGAGTTTTGTTGTACGAGATTTTCACCATAGGTAACATCGAATGGAAGTTTATGAGGCCTTGTAGATGTTTTTTTATATATACCATATTTTGTTAAACAATATTACATGTTCAGTTAGACAAACGTAAATGAGCCTCAAACTACGTCAAGTGACAAAGGTTGTGTTTCAGCGAAGGTCGGTTTTTTGTCACATTTATATTTCGATGGTCTTGCGTTTCTTCCAGGCGGTTCACCTTACCCACGAATGGATGGAAGAAAAATTGTAAACTTACTTCAGGATGGATACAGGATGCCTAAGCCACAACACGTTGATGAGGAATTGTAAGTGCCTTTTCAATTCGTTCTCTCTCACCCTACAAGGAAACGTTCTTTAAATCTCTAACAGATCATTTGAACAATATCAGGTATCAGATTATGATGAAATGCTGGAAGAATGACCCAGATGCAAGACCAACCTTCACTAAATTGAAAAATCAGCTTAAGGACATAGAAACCCAACACAAGGTGAGAATTTTGATTAACATGAAAGTTTCTTTTCACGTGGGACCGACTTGCTTAGGCTCAGCTAAATAGAGTCTTAAACTAAACAGCAGCTTAGATAACGTAATTTTTACGAAGTTTGGATTGCATCTTCTTGTTTTGTCACTGAAGCTAGCACTCCACGAAAAACGGGGAGGAAGCGAACTAGAATGTTCAATGACAATTGACACATTATGGTTATTTAAAAGATCATAGGGTGATTGCAAAACCGCATTGAGACGCACAAAGAGTAGCATACGACGACGCCATAAAATACTTTCTTGAATTTGTTTTGGTGTGAAAAGCTGACCACTTTTGAGGATAAACGCTTATAACTTAAGAGGAACACTTTTTTAATGATGCTGATTATTGTATTATTCTTTTCTGCAGA